ATAGGTATACATTAAAGTTTACAGCTAGTTAGTCTTCCTTGATGCATCTAGGTAATCTGGATACTTGAGTCTCCAGCTGTGTCTTCCTAAGTAGTGGCTATGCATTTCAGGCCAACATGGGTGTCATATCATTCTTGGAGTTCACCCTCATAGTTCTGTACCCTTCACTACTCAGAAGACTGACTGCCCTTTCTGGGATAATAACTGATATTATCCCTCATCTTACAGGAGATACCCCTTGTCCCTCCTCGTAAACATTTCTCCTATCCCTGGCGTCTGGATACCAATAAATTGCATGTGGTACAAAGAAGGGATGGCTTTTATTCTGCCTGCTTCCCGGGGTGGAAAGGCGTCTTTCCACAATTAGCTTGTTTTTATGGTCCCAAGATCTTTAGACAGCTAGCCCATCTCATGGAGAGGAGTTATCCTAAGCCGGAAATGGTCCAACCCCATGACTTGATCTGTATCCTGCAGGGCATGGCCTTTCTCCATAACAGCATTATTGCATTCCATGGAAGTCTCAAGTCCTCCAACTGTGTGGTGGATAGTCGTTTTGTGCTCAAAATCACAGACTATGGCCTGGCCAGCTTCCGATCAACTGCTGAACCTGATGACAGCCACGCCCTCTATGCCAGTGAGGCCTCCCTCCAACCCCTCAAGCCCACTTTTATATTGCTCCTCTAGCCCTGATCATTTCCTCCTAGGTAGGGTGGGAGAGGGGGATGGAGAGACAGTAACATGGAGAGCATTATGGGAATGAGCCCAGGTGGTTTTGGGAATACCCTTTTGAGGACTTGGCCAGCCTGTTCCCTCTTTTCAGAGAAGCTGTGGACTGCTCCAGAACTGCTCAGTGGGAACTCCTTACCAACCGCAGGCATGCAGAAGGCTGATGTCTATAGCTTTGGGATCATCTTACAGGAGATAGCACTTCGCAGTGGTCCTTTCTACTTGGAGGGCCTGGACCTCAGCCCCAAAGGTGAGAGTCAATCTACTACCCACAGCCTCCTCTACCTGAGGGGACTTATTCTTCACCCAAGCCTTTTATCACCTTCAGAGATTGTTCAGAAGGTCAGAAATGGTCAGCGGCCATATTTCCGGCCTAGCATTGACCGGACCCAATTGAATGAGGAACTGGTTTTGCTGATGGAGCGATGTTGGGCCCAGGACTCAGCTGAGCGGCCAGACTTTGGACAGATTAAGTGCTTCATTCGCCGCTTTAACAAGTGAGAAGGCACTGAGGGGCAGGGGCTCCCCAGGGATAGAAGCCTCATCAGGCTTAGTGGATGAGGTGGGGTTGGTTGGGGCGAAGAAGGTGGGTTGGGTAGAAAAGTCCTGGGAGTCTTTAGAATCTTGGAGCAGGTACCATATTCTGGCCTCCTCCCCCAGGGAGGGTGGCACCAGCATACTGGACAACCTCCTGTTGCGCATGGAGCAGTATGCCAATAACCTGGAGAAGCTGGTGGAGGAACGCACACAGGCCTATCTGGAGGAGAAGCGCAAGGCTGAGGCTCTACTCTACCAAATTCTACCCCAGTAAGACTTTTGTTTCCATCACTGACTTTCCCTTTGATATTCAGCTCTGTTGGATTCTGCCTCATCAATCTCCGGAGAACTCACCTCCCAACTCTTAGACACTGCTTTGATACATCCGGCCATAGTGAGCCTTTAGGACTAGACTGTTTTCATTCTCTCTCCAAATGAGTTGTGCTGCCTTCTTCTTAGGACATGGTCTACCATGCATTTGCTCCAGCAAGTATATGTAGAACAATCCCAACTTGAGACATTTAGCCACCATCCCCAGGGAGCCCATTCCACTCCCCCATCACCTGTACAGCTTACCTTGCGCTAGATTGTAATGTCTTCCCAGCCACCTTCCTTCTCCTCCAGGCTTAGCTTTTATGTTAGAACTCATTTCTGATTCTGCCATATACTCCTTTCCTTTCTCCCTGACTCATCCTCTTTCTGAATTTGGCTCCAACTGTACCCTTGCTTTCTAGTTCAGTGGCAGAGCAGTTAAAACGGGGTGAGACTGTACAGGCTGAGGCCTTTGACAGTGTTACCATCTACTTCAGTGACATCGTTGGCTTCACAGCTTTGTCAGCAGAGAGCACCCCCATGCAGGTGAGAGCCATGGGTGAAATTAGGGGGTGGGATAGTGACCTGGGGGAGCTTCACTGGGGCATAGGGGTCCTTGATAATAGGAAAGATTAATTTGTTCTAGAGTTCCCATACCTTATTATGGTTCTTGGGTTAAGAATTCTTAGAAAGTTGAACACGAGTGACAGGGCCTCAACTTTCCCATCCATTAGGTGGTGACACTTCTTAATGACCTGTATACCTGCTTTGATGCCATAATTGACAACTTTGACGTCTATAAGGTGAGAACTGGAGCTACCCTCGTACTGAGACCTCTTTAAAACCCAGTCTCCCTAAATCCCACATACCTTACCTATTCCATGGTCAATTTTTCCTCCTGAGCCTCCAGCATGCTAGTTCCAGAGTGCCCTTTGTAGACAAATGAAGCTCTGGCACTCCAACTGTACCTTCCATCCTAATTTCTTGTGAATCCTAAGGCTTCCCTAATCGGAGCCATCATAAGATTTAGCCCCTATTTGCTACAATTTTCTAGAGTATAAATACAGCCTATCCATCTTTTCTCTTCTCTCCATCCCCTCCAGACATGGAGGAATCATACAGGATGTGGGTACAGAATGATTTATTGGGGTGAGGTACAAGCCATGTTGTGAAAGCTTTTTGTTGAAGTCATTGCGTTGGCACAGGGTGGGCTTTATTGTACTTGGGAGTAAAAACTATTTGGATTTGAATATTGGCTTTGTGGCTAATTGTGTGACCTTGGGCAAGTAATAGAAGCTCCCTGTGCCTCAGATGTTTTATTTGTAATACGGGGATAGATTTATTGTGGAAAGTACCTAACATTGTGTAGATAATAAATATCCATTCCTGTACTTTCCCTTTGGATTTCCTCTACCATCTCTGTTATGACTGTAACAAAGACCTCCCATAAGCCCTTTACTCAGATTCACCAATTTTTTACATTTCCCTCCATTTGTTTTATTTTTTAAAATATATGTATTTTCTGAACCATTTGAGAGTGAGTTTCAGTAGTTCCTCTTTATTCTAAACAGTTCAGTGTCTAGTTCCTAAAAACAGGGACATTCTCTTACACAGCTTCAGTACAATGAACAAAACCAAGCAACTGCCTTCTTACCTTTGACAGTTTAGGCTATCTGAGGCCCATTTCACTGGGCCTGCTTGACCTCCTCCAGCCTCTGAGCTCTTCAGGTCAGTCCTGTTTTCTTGCTTCCCATTTCCTGACAGCAGAGCCTATTTGTCCATGTTCTGTTGCAAACAGGGTGTCCATTCAGCAAACGTTTACCAAGGATTCACTAGGTGCTGGGGTGGAACAGGAAGATTTAAAGATTCCCTTGACTTCCCCTTCCCCCCATATTCTCAGGACCATGGCACTTATTTTTCTAGTTAATGTTCTGGCCTCCCATGTTGTCAGATGACTCATAGTGGTGTCCAGCTTGTCTCCTTTTACTCTTCCCTAGTCCCACTGATACAGATAGAAGTGATATTTTAATCCCTCTCTCAATTAGGTAGAGACGATTGGAGATGCCTACATGGTGGTATCTGGTCTCCCAGGCCGAAATGGTCAACGCCATGCCCCAGAAATTGCTCGCATGGCCCTAGCATTACTGGATGCAGTTTCTTCCTTCCGCATTCGCCACCGACCCCATGACCAGCTAAGACTACGCATAGGGGTCCACACGGGTAAGGTTAACTCTCACTCCAGCCCTATTATCCACTTTTCCCAGGCTCTCCCAACCTGTTTGTTCTCATAGGGCCTGTCTGTGCTGGGGTCGTTGGCCTGAAGATGCCCCGTTATTGTCTTTTTGGAGACACAGTGAATACTGCTTCCCGAATGGAGTCTAATGGTCAAGGTGAGACATTTGCCCTCAATCTCAGCTTCAGTCTCAGTCTGTGTTGCCCTTTTCTTCTTTTCAGAGTTCCTTCAACTCTCTCAGTCTGAGACCACAGTTCCTGACTGCCCCATCCTTGGACATATTTAGGTTCTGGTGCATGGGCACTGGGAAGACTGAGAGCCTCCTGAGGGGTGGTCATTGGGTAACACTTTCTCTGACACCACCAATTCTCTCACCTTTTCTTTTATTCTTTCTACCATTCCGCCATCCCACCTCAGCCCTGAAGATCCATGTCTCCTCTACCACCAAGGATGCCCTGGATGAACTAGGATGCTTCCAGCTAGAGCTTCGGGGGGATGTGGAGATGAAGGTGATGGCAGGACATGGGGAGGGGGTCATGGAAAGGGAAGATGAAAGGGGTTATGGGGATCATGGGGAAGAGAGGGAGATAAAGGGAATAACATAAAAGAATCTGAATTATATCCACTCCCCTGCTCCCAGGGAAAAGGAAAGATGCGAACTTACTGGCTCCTAGGAGAGCGGAAAGGACCTGCTGGACTTCTGTAAACCCCAATTCTTTTCAAGTCAGACAATCTCCTGCTGCTGGTACCTGGGTAGGCAGTGGCTATCATCTCTCCATATACTAGAAATGGACGTTGTCATATGAGATGGAAACCAGCGTGCACAAAAACCCTACCTTATGTGGAAGTTGTTGACTTTTGCAGATCAGCCTTGTACATATACCTGCCCCTCTCTGGCCTGGTCCCCTTTTTCCCTACCTTCTGTAAATATCTGTATCTAAACCAGAATATTTTGGCCAAATATAAAACAAACAAAAAATCATGATGTCATAGTTTGGGGTAAGGGTAACTCCAAGGAACTGTTATGAGGTATGAATATGGAAACACAGGGAATCAATGAATTAACAGACTCAGGATGAGAAAGAACCCTTTATGTAAAGTTCCTTCACCAAGTACAGACAGAATTCACTTCCCACCTCTCCAGTACAAACAGAAATAGATTCCATATTCTACATCTCACTTCCCTCAACCCTTAGACAGTTCTACCCCCTCCGCCACTCAGCCCTCTTCCCTGACAGCCAAGAGAAGAGATTTCTCCCAATTGGTGGGGATAATTCTCAGGTTCATAGGGCAAAGGCTGCCCCAAGGACAAAGGCACTGGTGTTGAGAAGCTGCAGTTCTTCCGGAATGGCGTGTCCAGTGTCTTGATGTTACTGACACCCTGCAGGAAGGCCAGAGTGAGGGCAGATCCTACTCTCTGCTGAGCCAGAACAGAACAACCTCTTCCTCTCCTTGTCCCTCCACTCCCAACATCTAGTTACCCTCACACACCGGTAGCTGTGGTGCCCTCTGTATCCAGAAAGTTTCAGGCTGCTCCTTACAGTAGTCGTGAGGCTGCGAGGGAGAAATACTGAATAACTCTTGGCCTGAAGCTCCGTCTCTTAATTTCTGGGTCTGCTGCTTTCCCATAGTCCCCCAGAGCCCAGCTGTACATTTGGGGTGGAGTGGGTTCTCACCTTTGTTGGGGCAGGAGGCCCTGCCTGCACCAGCTCCTTTTGGTAGTCATGGTGTGTCACAGACTCGACCTCAAAGTGCTTCTTTGTCTGTTCCTGCTCTGCCTGCACCTCTTTACTATATAGTCACAAGGGCATCAAAGCCATTCTTCCCTGGTTTTTGTCTTCCCCCTTCCCTTTCCCTTTCGCCCAGCCTCTCACCAGATCTGGTGGCACAGGAGCATCTCCAGCATGGCTTCACGCTTCCCTGTGGGAGGGCAGGGAGTGGACAGAGTGGGGGAGTCTGGTTAAGAAGCAGGCCAAGAATAAACAAAGTTGGGAAAGGGAAGGAAAATCACAGGGTTTTGCCCTTATACCCACTAGACAACCTATAATCCCACCAGAAATTCCTTCCTCTTTTTTTTCTCTAATAGACTCCTTCTGGCCCATTCCCTCATGCTTCACACCTCGAATTGGCTGATACTGGTTTCGTGGGGGCTGGTATGAGTCTTTCTGGGTGGTGCTGAGGGGTAGAGGTGACTGTAGCTGCAGGGTTAGCAGTCCCTGGTGTCCATGCCGGAAATAGAAACTCTCGGAGCCATCCTGCATGCTTGGGACTTGATCCAGGTGGTTGGTGGCTCTCTGTGGGCCCCAAGTTAAGTGATCATGATATCCTTTCTGGTACCCACTCTCATCATACACTACTGCCTCCCCCAGGAAACGGGCAGCCTTCAAGAAAACGGAGTAGGTCAAAACCTTAATACCTCTTCCTCCCAGTTGTAGAGAAGGCACCGGCCCCGAGGCAATGTTTCATTGAGAACCTTATACTTTTCTTCAACCTTGGAGGGCTTCCATAGCCCTTGGGCAGCAGGTTCAGAGACTGGCAAAAATTTCCAGGGTTGTTTCTGAGGCTCCCAGGGTTGGTAGTTATTACAGGAGGCATAATTAGGGGCCAGGGCTGCCCCAGGATTTCTGGAGCTTGTAAGAGCACAGGGACTGAGCTCAGGGTCATTGCCAAAGTCTGCAGTAGGCCCAGAGTCACAGGCAGGACCAGGGCCAGAATTAGTAGGAACAGTACCTTGAGCAGAGCCACAGCCAGGGCCAGAGCCATGGCCAGGACCAGATCTAGAGCCAGGACCAGGGCCAGAGCTAGAGCCAGGACCAGGGCCAGAGGTAGAGCCAGGACAAGGGCCAGATTTAGAGCCAGGTCCAGGGCCAGATCTAGAGCCAGGACCAGCGCCAGAGGTAGAGCCAGGAACAGGGCCAGAGGTAGAGCCAGGGACAGGGCCATATCTAGAGCCAGGATCAGCGCCAGAGGTAGAGCCAGGATCAGCGCCAGAGGTAGAGCCAGGATCAGCGCCAGAGGTAGAGCCAGGGACAGGGCCATATCTACAGCCAGGGACAGGGCCAGATCTAGAGCCAGGACCAGCGCCAGAGGTAGAGCCAGGGACAGGATCAGAGGTAAAGCCAGGAACAGGGCCATATCTAGAGCCAGGGACAGGGCCATATCTAGAGCCAGGGACAGGGCCAGATCTAGAGCCAGGGCCAGGGCCAGGGCCAGCGGTAGAGCCAGGAACAGGGCCAGAGGTAGAGCCAGGAACAGGGCCATATCTAGAGCCAGGGACGGGGCCAGATCTAGAGCCAGGGCCAGGGCCAGAGGTAGAGCCAGGAACAGGGCCAGAGGTAGAGCCAGGAACAGGGCCATATCTAGAGTCAGGGCCAGCGGTAGAGCCAGGAACAGGGCCATATCTAGAGCCAGGGACAGGGCCAGTTCTAGAGCCAGGAACAGGGCCATATCTAGAGCCAGGGACAGGGCCAGCGGTAGAGCCAGGGACAGAGACATATCTAGAGCCAGGGTCAGGGCCAGAGGTAGAGCCAGGGACAGGGCCAGATCTAAAGCCAGGGCCAGGGTCAGGGCCATATCTAAAGCCAGGGCTAGGGCCAGAGGTAGAGCCAGGGCCAGGGCCAGAAGTAGAGTCAGGGCCAGGGCCAGAGCTAGAGCCAGGGCCAGGGCCAGAGCTAAGATCGTTTGTAGTACAGGGATCCTGAGCAACACAGTAAATGTCAGGCTTAAAGGCAAGTCTCTCATGGCCTATCTTGTAGGTAAAGTTGGGTCCAGTGCAGGGCTTCCCAAGAAGACTGTCGGAGGAGGAGGGATCCAGGATAAGCCTTCGCTCAGAACAGGGCGTTTGGGTCTTTACAGATAATACAGCTGCTTTGGCAGTGGAGGCGGCTGCAGTGGCTGCAACAGCTGCTGCAGTTGCAGCTGCCAGGGCCGACCTGGGACCAATATCCGAAGAAGGACACGGTTCCGAAGAGGACCCTTGTCCTTCGGAGCTAGGCTGTAGGGGTAAAGATCTGAAAGAAAGCGAATGCATCAAGTTGTCAAAAGCTCAGCAGAGGAAGTCCGCTGACTTTCCTTGTCCCCTAACGCCTGCAGCCGGCTCTCACCGCGACCAAGATCCCTCGGTAGAATCAAAGGTCTCCATCTTCAGGCACCAGCTACCGGGTTGCCATAGAGACGGCAAACAATTTCAGGAGACTGCGCAGAACTAAGATCTAGGCGGATGTGGAGGGTGCCGAGTGAGGCAAGTTCCCTGCGGGGCGGAAGTCTTAAACCCGGTGAGATGCGGCGCGGTGTGGGAAGTCCGCTTTCTGTCTGGACTCTCATCCCCGGTTTTTAAGGTTCCGCTAATCTAAGGCCTCGCTCTCCATTCCTAAGAATGATGCTTTGAGGCTTTCTAAGGTGGTCATGTTGGAGATAGGCACAGGGCTGTTACGTAGCAGGTAACAGTAGCTTCCCCTTAGCTCGTTTTTTAAAAGTGTGTGGGGAGGGCGGGGGGCGCTTTTCAAACATTTTAAGGATGAAAATGCACCAGACAACAGCTTAAAGGCAAAATAGTGAGGCTTGGGAGTTAGTCAAAGGGTAGCAGCTTTTTGGGGGTATGATTACTTCACCCCCAATAAAAGGCCCTCACATTTGACCAACCTCCTTCCAGACCCTCTTATAATTTGGACTGACAGCTGGATAAGGGCCAGGATTGAGCACTCCACTCCTGGGATTCAGTCTCTTATTCATTCAGGCTTATTCCTACTGCTACTTGTCTAGAAGATTGACTCAGGCACACCACTAGTCACGAGGGCTTACAGATCTATAGGCAAATGCTTCTTTAACTACAGTATAGGCCTCCTTAGTGTCTCTTACCCTGACCATAGTCAAAGGGGGTCACAGTATTTTCTTTCCTATTTGTAGTAAAATCTCTATATATTTAAGACAGGGATCCAAAATCAAGTGAAAGGAAGTTTATTAGCATTACAGGATCTCTTTCCCCCCACCCCATCCGAGCATCCAGGTATAGGTATGAGGTCCTTGGTCAGTTGGTGGGTTCAACCTGGAGGCCACTGGAGCTGTCGGCCCCCAAGTACATGAATGTGCAGGTGATATACAGATTGTGCTCCTAGCTTCCCATCATTGATCACTGAAATGAAGCTTGGGGTTAGTGGGTCAGGATCATGGCAGAGGTCAAAGAATGAAGATCATACTGAGAAGTAGGTATGAGAATTCATTGGTGAGGGGTTCAAGGACCAAGTCACTCACCAAGTCGATATCCATCTCCCAACCCCTCTGCTTTTGCTGTCTTCTTGGCCACAAGGAGAAGGTGTCCTAGAAGCTACAGGGGAAGGGGAGGAAGACAGGTGGCTTTGTTCATAAGGAGCAAAACCTCTAGCTAAATCCAGGGCTCCCCCCAGTCAAACCCTGGCCCTATTCTTCCCACCTGCTGGTCTTCTTCTTCAGCCTGGCTAATTCGAGGAATGGGCTTCTTGGGAATGACCAGGAAGTGCACAGGAGCCTGAGGTGCCACATCACGAAATACGAGACACTGGGAGCAGTGACAGGCCAGAGGCCACTGTTACTTCCACAGGCTGGATGGTATCTATGTAATTCCTATGGGATGGGTCCTAAGGGCACCCCACCTGCTGGTCCTCATATAGAATGTCAGCTGGAAGGCTTCGATCCAGGATCCTGGAGAAGATGGTTGGGGTTGCTCCCTTAGGAGTTGCCTGCTGGGCCTTGGCCACTTCATTCCCATCATTCACACCTGCTGCTCCTCGGACCTGAAGGTGGGTCAAACACACCCAAGGGAGAGAGTTGGTAATACCTCTCCTGTGTACTCAGTTGGGGTTGGCAGAGGCTGGGCTCTGATGGTCATTAACTTCATCCTTTTAAGAACCTATGAGTGGTTCCCACCCAAAGGTACAGTTCAATTTCAGAGTATCAGCAGCAGAGAGTAGGGCCAGAGTGCTGAGCCTGGTTAGATAACAAGCAGTACCATAATGCAGGATTCAGCAATCCAGTTGTCTAGGACTAATCAGTTCTCAAGGGTTTAGGAAATCTAGCACTGTTCAGGGAAAAATACCCAGAATAAGAACAGTTCCCAGTTCCTATTTACCAGTGATTTACCTTAGATAAATTCCTTCTCTTGGCTTCAAATGTAAAAGAAAGGGAATGGTTTGCATAATCTCTTAATACCGCTTGGAGGTCTTTCCATATATTCTCATCTTGTGTACAGTTATTTCCATTACTTGTTTTCTGATCTTTAAGCCATGTTACCTGTTTTATTCGGGTTTAATATAATTGCCTTTTGACACAAGGGCGTCTGGTGTCACATTTGACCTCTTACAATGAATTTTAACTCCAGTCCCTTGAATCAGTGGAAGAGTTCAGTTAAGTGAACCCAGCCCCAGGGGACTGAGGGTAGGCAAGTCTCAGTTTCCCAGCGACTCTGAAAGGCTGAAAGTCAGTGTTGTCACATTGTGGGAGAAAAGGACGGGATGAATCTAACCCCTTCAGTCACTCTGGCAAAGTGGGGAAGACGAGAGGTTAACACTAGTACTCAGTAGGTCAGGAGCCTGAAGGAGGGCAGAAGACTGGCTGCAGCGAGACGAGAAAGCTCGCTTCCTGCAGGGGGCACTGAAGGGGCTGCCTAGAGCAGGCGTTCGGTCAGCTGGGCTTCAGGCAGCTTTAGAAGGCGGCAGCCGCTGCACGGTCCCTGTCCCGCCCGGACTGTGCAGGGCGTCAGTCATCGCCAGCGCGCTTCGCCCTCGTCGAGCTTTCGGAGAGGATGCCGCGACCGCCAGTCCGACCTCGCGCTCAGTCCCCGCGAGGCCACAGGGCTGCGCGCGTCTGAGGGAGCCGGGGAGGAACACGGCCCCCGGCCGCGGAGGGCGTCAGAGCCCGCAGGACCCCCTCCTCGCCCCCACGGCCACTTCTCACCTGCGTCCCCCGCGGCCCCGCGACCACCACAACCCTGCGCGCCACGCGCAGCCCGGCGGCCATCACCATGGCCGCCGCCATCTTCCCCGGCCGTGGACCCTGTCACCCGGGTCAGCGCTGCGGCGGCCGCGGTGGGGGTGCCTGGGAGCGACCGAGCGGCGGCGATTGGCTCCGCCGGCCGCGAGGAGCGAGTCCTGCCATCCGATTGGGTTGCGTTCCTGTGCCCTGCATGCCGCCCCTTAGCCCAGAGGCGTGGCGGAATCGTTTCCTGCCATTGGCGCCTTGGCCAACTCGACTATTTTTTCACCCCATTGGCTTCGTCTTCTCGTCAGCGTGGAAGTCCCTTTTCCATTGGATCCCCTAACTAGTTTCTCACTCCATTGGAAGGAAAAGGGACCAAGAGGTGGGATTTTCCCTCCAGTTAGCTCCGAGACGCCCTGTGCCTGCGCTGGAGTGGGCGGGGCTTTCCTATTCAGCTCTGGCCCCCACTGCTGGGCTGGGAGGAAGAGGGCGGCGCCTTGTCACCTGCCCCACAAAGCCTGTAAGATTGTAGACCAGCGATTTTCAACTTTTTAAATTTCATGGCACACAGAAACTAATTACCAAAATTCTGCAGCACACCAAAAAATGTATTAGCGATATGACGAAAAAACTAGGTATTGTTTTGATCCACTCATACCGAACAGCTATAGTTGACATTTTTTTGCCAGTCTAAGGGAAAAGAGGTCAGTGCCCCTGACTAAATAGGTATTGCATGTTTTAAAAATTCTTGCGGCTTAAAATTGCTGATATAAGGGCAATTCCTCCTTAGTTTATGTTTTTGTTAGCATATTCACTCCAAAGTAAAAGATTCTTCAGTTTTAAGGACGGTTTTAGCATTTTTCTTTTTAAAGGGTGTGTGTGTGTGTGTGTCCCCTATTCTGGCCACAAGACTAGTAAGTAAATGTTCTTTCCTAATTAGAAAAAGTGGGTGATATGGTTGGTTAGCTCTGTGCCTGGTATTTTCAGTAAGTAGAGTTAGAAGGACAAGGGAAATGTGTCATGGCTAGGTCTGAAGTATATTTCGTTCTGCTAGAATATATATTTTGACATAAGAAACCTGGGGGTTATGAAATGCGAATATAGTTACACCAGGTAAGTTTTAGTCTGATGTTTAACACGTATGATAAAAGTCACCACTATAGCCTGGCCAGTGTGGCTTAGTGGTTGAGTGTGGACCCATGCATTAAGAGGTTACCAGTTCGATTTCCAGTCAGGGCACATGCCCAGGTTGTGGGCCAAATCCCCAGTGGAGGGCATGCAGGAGGCAGCCAATCGGTGTTCTTTCTCATTGATGTTTCTATCTCTCTCTCTCCCTCTCTAAAAATCAATAAAGAAAAAAAAAGTCACTATTTTTAGTTTGTTTTTGAGCACATGGTCTGACATAATTTGTAGAATGAATAACATTTAGTACTATTTCCTTTTATAGTTTATGTATTGCATATTTTATTCTTCCACTTTCAGTCAATTTTTCATATTATTACACAGTCTATGTAAATACACTTTATTAGGGCTGCATAATACTTCCTTGAATGTTTTAGCATAGTAACCATTCCTTTATTGTTGACTATTAACTGAATTAGTTTTAGTGAATGGTCATCATGGTGCTACTTGCATATAACCAGTAATGAGGAACTCTCTACTTCTGGAGATAATAATGATCTCTTTTGTATAGCCATGCTATTATTGTTAGAAAGTCCTTTCTTCTCCAAAGAGCAGACATTTGACGCTGTGATTTCCCCTCAAGAGTCCTAGCAGTGCAGGTTGCATTTCTTCCCTTGAAGGATAAACAGCCTCTCCAAATGTGAGGAAATGTACATGGGCCTTTACTCAGTGCTCTAGAGGCTACAGTTATCAGTGGTGCCTGTTGACCCCCAAAAGCAATATACCTGCCAGAAGGATTCCTTATGGTTAATTGAGCTCAAATTCATAATCAGAGTCTAATAGCCACTGCTGCCAGGGACCTCTCACTCTGCATTTCACAGGAAAGGCAGAGACAGAACTGCCAGCCTCCTGAGCTGTGCTCCTGCCAGCTGAGTCCACCCTTACAAAGGAGTTCCTGGAATCATCTTTCAATCAATAGGGGGAGACCTACCTTATCCAATTGGAACTGTACGGCTATATCCTAATTTGCATCTTTACTGACCAATCAGAGCAACCCTATAATGACCAATCAGAATGAGTGATTCTGACCAATCAGGACAATGCTATTTGGACCAATGAGACTGTGCAAGTTTGGATTTCTTATTTGCTAGAAATGGACCAATCAGGGATGGGCAGGCAGAACCTTTATAAAAGCCCCCCCCCCCCCCCCCCATCTGCTGCTGGACCTCATTAGAGACTTCTATTCCTTTTTTCAATCTGCCAATTGTTTCCTGGCTTTGGCACTGTGCACTTTCCCATTTCCATCAGAGGCTGTCTCTCCCTGGTTTACAAACTGTTACCTGAATAAAGCTTCTCCTTTTTTTGCACCCCAGATTGGGGATTTATGTTGGCATTGGATTGGTGGCAGCAACTTTTTGTTGACCTGCCTCTGGGATAGCAGCAGCCCCTAAAGCTGCTCTGGAGAAGGGTAAGAGAGAAGAGGAACTGGGATCTGAGAAGAGAAGGAAATCAGCCAGGAGGAGTACGCAAGTACAAAGCTCTTTGAAACTGGTTATTTCTTTGGGTTCTCATAGCAGGTAGCATAGAGATTATTCCTGTTTTACAGATCCAGAAACTGAGACCCAGAGAGGAAAAGTAACTTGCCTAGGATGCTAGGATGACAGAGCTCATTAGTGTCAGAATCTCCTACTCCCCATAAGAATCATTCTATGGGCTTTCTAGTCACACTTCCTGACATTCACTGATTTTGGCCCCTGGCCCACAATCTTCTCTAATCTAAGCCTTGTGATTATTCACAGCTGCTCTAATCTGAAAACTGCAACACTTTGCAGGTTCTGACCACTGTTTCCTGTACTCAGACCCCCCCCCCCCCCCAATCTGCTGCTGGACCTCATTAGAGACTTCTATTCCTTTTTTCAATCTGCCAATTGTTTCCTGGCTTCACTTTCCCTATTTGTGTGGTCAGCTCCCTCGACATCTTCAATCCTTCTTCTTTTGCCTTATTTTAGAGATTATTATTAACTTCCCTGACACACTCTCATCACAACCCATTAATCAAAATACTTTGTTTCTCTGCTTTTCTAACTAATTTCCTACTTCCAACTGTACCTTAATTCTCAACCACCCACTGATCAGGTTTTTTCCAGTTCCTCACATTAGCCTTCCCAAACCTTCACCACTGTTTTCCTGTCTCCTGCTCTCCACTCTTATCCTCCCCCACACCAGAAACTGACCTTGTCCCCTACTTTACAAGGAAACTTTCATAAGATCCTGCTCCCTGCAACTCAAAGAAGGCCCCGTCCTTCCTTCCTTCCTCTTGGTCTTAGGAAGTGGCGTTTCTCCTGTCCAAAGTGGATCCCTTCACCTCTGCCTTGACCTCATCCTCTCCATCTCTGGGATCTTGTCTCACCAGGCACCTCTCTTTCTCTTCTGCATCCTTCAAGGTCTTTTTATCTACTGGCCTCTTCCCTTTTTCTTTCTTAAAAAATGCTTCCTGAACTCCACATCTCCCTCTGGATATTATCTGACTTCTCTCCTGCTTTTTTCATTCAGGTTTCTTAAAGAAACTTCTACTTCCACTGCACCACTGAAATTACGCTCTCTGAAGTCCCCAAATCCCTTCTGATTGTAAAATCCAATGGACATTTTTGTAGTCTATCTTACTGGAGACTGCAGCTGCATCTAACACCACTGCTTACTCTATCCTTCTTGAAACCCCCTTCCCTCCTTGGTTTCTTTGAAGCCACTCTCCTTCTGATGCCAGGGCTAGCAGGTTCAATGTGGGTGTGAAGGCAGATGACTGGATCCAGCCTCTCTTCTGTGTGGTGCTCTCTTTCGTCCCCAGTGGGTGCTGACTCTAAGGTCTTGGAATATCTGTCTCTGGGCTGGACTCTAGCTGCCCCATACAGAGCCAGGTCAGATTCTAGTAGCTTCTCCTTTATTGATGATTTGGGCCAGGCTCACAGAGGCCTGTGCCAGATGTTGACAGTGTCTGTCCCTAGAGGAGGGAAGAGCAGAGGTGAATGGGTCAGGTATGGGGGTTAGATGTAGGGTCAGGTTGGAGGCTGAATGGTCCAGGGAGCCCAGGGGGACTAAGGTAGGAGCTGGGATGGCCAGAGGGCCCCTGCTTCTGTAGGGCCTCGAAGTCAGAGTTGCTGATGATGGTTTCTCGGAGGGCAGGAATCTCTGCAAAAGGCACATATTCTGCTCCTGGGGGTGAAAAACCAACAACGCAGTAGGTAAAGGGGATGAGGTAGTCTTGGATGGGATGGTTGAGCATGGGAGTGCCTTTCTGCCTGGCTTTCTGACTATAGACCCTGGAATAGCTCCCTGTTCCAGGTTACCCTCCTCACCGTGAGGTCTCCCTCCTCGTCGTCGGGTCTCCTCAGTCTCAAAGAAAGTCTCATGTTCCTCCCAGCGCCGATCACAGGCCGCACAGAGGAAATTAGACTCAAAACAGTTGCAGCAACAGCCTAGGGCAAGGGGACAGCCAAGAAAAGTATAGGGAATGGGGGCTTCCTCTTAGGCTGACTATGTTCTCATCTCTTCCTTACCAACCACAAACCCAAGTCTCTTCTACCAGCTCCCTTATCCTTATTCCCAGTCTATATGCATCCTATACCCACCCATGCCCACCTTTGCACTCCCCTTGTTTTAGAAGGTACCTTTGACCCTGCAGGGATGGGACCTGGTAGCTGCATGGTTTTCATGGCTGTGTTTGCAGCGACATTGGGCTCTCCAGGCCTTGGGGTCAAAGGTGGTCCGTCTCCTAAGCCAGAACTCACCCACCTCCTCTGGGCGTGATGGGATAAAGCAGAACATGAGGCAGCGGCACTGGCTCACATTGCAGGGCACAGATATGTCTATGGGAACAGGGATGGGTAGTAGGATGAGACCAGTACCTGATAGGGCCTGGCCTTCCCATGCCAACACCCTCTCCCATGCCAACACACACACTTTCTCTCATATATCACAACACGTGTCAGAGTACAGATATCCTTCCTCGCCACAGGGGCTGGGAGGGATAACTCAGTTCTCCCTACCTGATATGATCTGGTGCTCTCTCAACAAGTGTCCACAAAAGCATTTGGACTCATCCCCAATCCGGAAACAGTCCCATAGATAATGGGGGCAACGCCAGCCAATGTAGAGACCTAGAAGTGGTGAGTTGAGTAATGGGACAAGTAAGAAGGAAAAATAGCTTAAGCTCCCCAAGGTGGGAGGTTTCTCACCTCTCCCCCAAGGTACATTTATCCCTACCCATGATTCCTCACCCCTAACCCTTGAGATTTTTTCTCTCAAGGTTTTCTCATCGTCTCACAAGTGTTTCAGTTCCCTTCCCACCCCAGGATCCACTCCATCTCTGTCAGCCTGTCAGAGAAGACTGAACTCAGTCTTAGTTTCTGAGCGAAGATATTATAAATGAAATTTTGTTCAAAGATGAACATGAGCCTGGCCAGTGTGGCTCAGTGGTTGAGCATTGACCTATGCACCAAGAGGTTGCCGGTTCGATTCCCGGTCAGGGCATATGCCCAGGTTGTGGGCTCGATCCCTAGTGGGGGGCATGCAGGAGGTGGCCATTCAGTGTTCTCTTTCATTGATGTTTCTACCTCTCGCTTCCTCTCCCTCCCTCTCAAAAAGCAATAAAGAAAAAAAAAAAAGATGAACATGAATCTCAATGAGTTCTCTATGACTGTTGGAATTCTCATCTCCTCCCTTCTCTACCTTAGGGCCTAATTTTGCTTGGTTTCCTTAAAGTGTCTAAGGCAGTGGTTCTCAAACTTCCTAATGCCACGACCCTTTAATGCAGTTCCTTATGTTGTGGTGACCCCCAACCATAAAATTATTTTTGTTGCTACTTCATAACTGTAATTTTGCTACTGTTATGTCTTAGGCGACCCCTGTGAAAGGGTCGTTCGACCGCCAAAGGGGTTGTGATCCACAGGTTGAGAACCGCTGGTAAGGTGAGCGAAAGAGAAGATGATTGGCCAAGTGTAGAGTAGATAATGAGAATTGGCTACTAAGGAGCATGGTTGTTGAAGGGACCTGATGAAGAGGAGGAGGTTGGGCAGGCCTGGAGCCAAAAGGAGAGCTTCCCTCAGTTCTTCAGATTGGCACCTTCATACTTCCCTTCTGTGTTCTTGGTATTATTGAACTAATGCTCTCTATGAACTTGAGAAGTGCTTCCTAGGGCTCTCCAAAGGTCAGGAGAAAGTAGGCCAGATGTCGTGAGTGGTGAAGACCAGAAACTATAAGCTTGTGAAGCTAAGAAAGGAAGCATGAAAAGGAAGGCGAGGCTAAGAATTATCCCTGAGCTCAGGTACCAGCAAGATGCCACAACCCTTTAGAGCTTGGTTTTAGTAGTGGGATCTGAAAATGTCTGACTTCACGGTCAATTTTACCATGTGGGAGGAAAACCAGAGAACCCTTCCACTCAGATTTTCTCATTCTCCGTGAGACTTGAGAGTACCCCAACTTCTAGCCAAGAATCCCGTATGATTTCCCATGGAGTAGGTTCTTCAGCTGTAGGACCCTTATTCCAATTTAAAGGCTGCAATGAAGTGTCACATCCATCAAAAAGTGTCCCTGACATCCCCTTTTCTAGGGATTCCTCCTCTTGCCTTCCATGGTTCCTTGTGCTACTCTTATCACAGTACAGTACAATGCATTGTAATGAACTGTTCACTTGTATTCCTGTTAGACTGTGAGTTCCTCCAAGGAAGGGTCTAGCTTTTCATCTATATCTCTAGTCCTAGCATAGGGCCTGGCACAAAATAGGTGCTCAGAGAACACAGACTGCTTGACTGAATAAATGAGCAAATTATTTCAGGAGGGAAGAGAATTCCTTCAGTATTCCAGGCATAGCCCTGGAGTTCTATAAGGAGGATGAGAAAGAATTAGTGAACTCTGGTCTTTGACTCTGGCCAGGGCAATAATCCACAATTCTGTGCCTAGTGGTCAGACTAGAGTTTCTTGTATTACCCATGGTCTCTCAGGGTCTAAAGCCTGTCCAGATGTGGCTTTTGGCTTTGCTACTTCTGTCTTGATGCTGATGGCCTGTAGTGCCAATGCCCCATTATACTAGGGAGTCTTGGTTGAAAGGGCAGTGTATAGTTAGAGTCACAATGGAGGTGGGTGGGGGCCAGGATTCTACTAGAGGAATTCTGAACTCCATCCAGAGTAGCAGGATATACTGGATGAACAGGTGAGGTGTGGAAGTGAATAGAGGTCAGTGCCCAGAGATCAAGGCTGGCCTGAGAGCCTGGGAGAGTCAAGTCCAAGCATTGATGTAGGAATCAGTGTCCAGCTTTAGATGAAGAAGATTGACGTTTGAACAGGGAGACTGGCAAATTACACCTCAGACTCTATAACAGGTGTCAGTGCCCTTTCAGTGGGACAATTGACATCTGGCTGGGTATTCTAGATGATGCCCTCTATTCTCTGATTTCAAATCCCCTTTCTGTTATGAGTGGACAGGACTGGCAGGGGAAGGAGACATTATCTGGGATGCCATTTAATTCTGCACAATACAGTCAATTCCATGATCATATAATCATATTTGCATGATAATACCTCTTTGTGCTTAGAACATCTCTATACAAGATACAGCTGTTTTTTTATGAAGGATGTCTCCAGTCCAGACCTCTCTCCTGAGCTTCAGACCCATATAGCCAGCTGTCTAATAAGTTCTTTCACCAGCATTTTCCATGAGCACTTTAAATGTGTTATATTCAATTATTCCTTTCAAACCTGGCCTTCATCCTTTGTTTTCTGTTCATCCAACACATACTTAGCAAGCATCTACTCCGTTTTAGGCATTCAGTTAATGTCATCATTATCCAATCAGTTACTTAAGCCAATAACCTAGATGTCATTCCAGGCATGTCCCTTCCTTTTATTCTACACATCCAATGATCCAAAGGTCAGTTTTACCTTCTTAGCATTTCTTGAGTTTATCTACTTCTTTTCACACCCATTCCTTTCTTATGTGGATGATTATCAGTGCCCCATAAGGTAGTCTTCCTGTCTCCAGTTCTTATCTTTCTCTACTCTATCCTACTGCTAGAGTGATCTTACAAAAACACAAATCTGTTCATGCTATTTAAAATCTTTTAGTTACTCAGTTGCCCTCAGGATATAATCCCAGCTCCTGAGTTTGGCATAGAAAGGCCTGCACAGTTCTGTCCTTCCAGAGCTGAGCTAGGCTACGCTGCCCAACACTCTATGCAGCAGGCATACTGCATTGCTTACAGTTTCCTACTGGGGCCTTGCCCTGTCATGTCTCACCATACCCCATCATTTACCTGGCCACCTCTTCTTACTATCTTACGGATTTCAGCTGAGAAGTCATCCTGTCCAAGGTTTATTCCCCAAGTTCCCACAATGGGATGCCTGTCCCTTTTCTCTGTTCATGCAGTACTCTGGGCTGAGCTCAATTATAGCAATTATTAGAATGAATTATTATTGTCCTTTTACTTATTGGTTCATTAAAGTGTAAATTATCTGAGGGTTTTTTTCTTGGAAACCCCATCAGTACCACCACCTTCACAGCTAGTATTGAGCCTGGTATATTGTTGGTGCTCAAGAAATGCTGAATGAGTAAGAGAAAAGCTTATACTTGATATTTCTCTACATAGCACACATATTGACTCTGCAGGAACAGAAGATCCCCAGGATTATAAGAGAACCCCAAATATCTTTGTTCAGGATTGAATGACACTCAAATCTTAGTATAAAAATGCCTATTAAGCCCGGTCAGTGTGGCTCACTGGTTGAGTGTTGACCCATGCACCAAGAAGTCACTGGTTCGATTCCTGGTCAGGGCACATGCCTAGGTTGTGGGCCTTATCCCCAGTGGGGGGCATGCTGGAGGCAGCCGATTGATGTTCTCTCTCATCAATGTTTCTATTTCTCTCTCCCTCTCCCTTCCTCTCTCTTTAAAAAAAATTTCAATAAAAAGAGAAAAAAAAAGCCTATTCAAATAGGAAAACAAATCTAATCTCAAGAGGTACAGTGGCCTTGAAGAGAGAGGAGTAGAGGAGGTTTTAAGAAGGAGAATGAGGGTACTGAGCAGACCCTATATTTGCAAGAATAAAAGTGACATAAGATGTTAAAATAAGCAAACAAAGCTATTTCAATGACTGAAGTAAGACTGAGAAACAAAGGAGATCCCTATGACTTTCTTGTCCATAGGTGGAGGGGAGATGTCCCTATGAGACTGAGAAAAGTAAGTTACATGGAGGAGGGATAGGGACATAGAATTATATATGCAGATAAATGCAGTGACATATATTGAATTCAGTCTAGACACCCCAGAATCCTCAGGGTGACCCTTTTACTGAAGGTAACCCCTTTAGATATAAAGTTCACTAACCTCGGTTCACATGCTCACACACTAGATGGCATGAGTTTACACAGTACGTCTACACATCCTTTATATCAGACATAGATGAGCACAGCATGCCACTAACAGGACTGTCAAGAGTACTAATTCTGGCCCCGCTGGTGTGGCTCACTGGTTGAGTGTCAACCCATGCACCAGGAGGTTACTGGTTCAATTCCAGGTCAGGGCACTGCCCAGAAGGGGCATACAGGAGGCAGCCAATCCATGTTCTCTCTCATCCTCTCCCCCTCTCCCTTCCTCTCTCTCAATAAATCAGTTAAAAAAAAAAAAAAAGAGTACTAATTCTGGGCTGAGACTTGGAACCAACAGTGCTAGAAGATATAACTCTGCTCTTTGGTGGGGACTTACAGCTTTTGGGTACCCAAGTGATCTTGGGTCTCATATTAAGGGGTGACTGCCTCTTTTTTTAAAAAAATTTTTTCTTTATTGATTTTTGGAGAGAGAGATAGATAGAAACATCAATGAGAGAGAAAATCGATTGGCCGCCTCCTGCGTGTCCCCCACTGGGTATTGGGCCCACAACCTGGGCATATGCCCTGACTGGGAATCAAACCGGCAACCTCTTGGTGCATGGGTTGACGCTCAACCACTGAGCCACACCAGGCAGGCAATGTGACTACCCCTTAATGGAGTTCTACCAAAGAGACCAAGCCCTTTTGCCATGTTAGAGCAATAAGTCACTTGGAGACTGTCCAGGTCCTCTTCCTTAGGGTCTGTTTGGTGCAGGTGATCTGAGCCCTAGATCTGCGGCTGTCCTGGGACCCATCTGTTTTTAACAACTTTAGTTCAGTCACCTGTCCCTACCTGGGCTTTGTATGAATATCCCTACTTTTCATCTGTAATTGTGCCATCCACCTTGGCCCACCTGCCTACTTCCCTCCCAGATTTCAGGCAGGTGGCATTGCCATTTCCACAAGGGGCAACTATCCACTGAATGGGCAAGTTCCCAGAAACCAATGGATTGAAGGATGGCTTGAGTCTGGCAGAAGCCTCTGAAAGACTGCCTGGGCTCACCATTCTGGATGGCATTCAGGGCTGCATTCTTCTCCCATTGGAAAAGATTATTCACCCGAGCACTAAACTTCTCTCTGTGCATTGCCTTAGCCACTTCCACCAGCTCTGCCTGCTTAGCAGGGACGACTGGGCTGACTGTGTAACCTGGGAAGAGAGGGGCTGAGTAATCAAGGAGAAGTGAGGAGGCCTCGAAGTAAGAGAAGGGGTCAGGTCAAAGAGTAACCCAATCCCCTTCTCCTGGGGCAGGTGAAAGAGAGTGATGAGAATGGGAAAAAGGGCTGAAACAATTACGGCTAGCTCCTTTCTTCTTCTTCTTTCCCAGATGATGTCCAGGCTGAGCTGTGTGAGTGGTGCTGTCAGTGGCATCCTCCCTCTCCTTGTCCTCTCCTTCCTCTTCCCTTTCCTTTACAGATGTGTCCAGGTGGACCTGGGATGAAGGGCCTAAAAGGGAATGCTTCTGAAGGATCTCAGATTCGGGGATCTGGATGGATCTTTTTGTCCATGAGACCTCACCTGAGGAAGACTCAGGGAAGAGGCCTTTCTTCGGAGCATCAGGGGAAGACACAGAGACATGGCCTGATGATGAGTCATGTAAAGACTCTGGGACCTTAGAGGTGTGAATCTCCAATAGGTTCTCAGAGATAGAGCTTTTTAAAGAGGACTTGGAAATGGAAGGCTCCAAAAGGGTTTCAGAGGTATGGGTCTCTAAAGGGATATGGGAAGAAGATGGCATCATATGAGATTCAGAGGTGTTGGGCTCTAAAGGAGTCTCAGAGATGGAAGGCTCCAAAGGGGTTTCAGAGGTATGGGTCTCTAAAGGGATATGGGAAGAAGATGGCATCATATGAGATTCAGAGGTGTTGGGCTCTAAAGGAGTCTCAGAGATGGAAGGCTCCAAAGGAGTTTCGGAGATAAGGGGCTCTAAAGGGGCCCCAGAGATGGAAGGCTCCAAGGGGGTTTCAGGTATAGGGGGCTCCTGTGAGTCCTCAGCAGAAGGGTCCTTTGAAGAAGGGTGCTCCTTTGCATCCGTGGTGGTATGAGGTTCTTCTGTGACTTTGTCTGCTTCCATCTAGTGGTAGAATAGGGTACAGGCTTTAGGTTGGGATTGAAGGGTCTACAAATCAGGGTTCACAAGCAGGTTTGGAATTAGGACATATCTTAGTACACCTGAGATATAAGGGGGAAGCAAGATGAGATCTGTGTTAGGGTATGGTGCTAGGAGATTTACACGTGTCTAGACCCCATGTGGCATCCTGCTGGAGGGTTGTGAGGGAGCTGGAACTTAAAGAATGAAAGGCTGAATCCCATCAGTAGATGGTAGCAGAGGACCATACCCCAGGAAGGAGCTTGAACACAGCAACTTGGCCAGTCTAAGAGCAGGGTGCTAGGCATACCTTAGACCATGGAGATCAGGTTTTGAAATTCTAGAGAATGGGAATACCAAGCCAATGGGGGTGGGGGTAGGGGTGGGGTGTTGCTCCCAAGAGTGCAGGAGGATGCTGTGATGGCAGGGCCCTGACCACAGTCTAGCTTTGTCTAGGGACTACACACACCTTCCCTTGATGATGTCATTCATGTTCAAGGCTTCAACTACTTCCACCTGTATGCTGATGACCCCTAAACCCACAATTCCAACTTAGACTTCTTTAAACCCCTATACTTCACACTTATACCCCACTGCCTGCTGGACATGGCAAAACGGATGTCCCACAGTGCATCAAAGCTGACTGTTGGGGTTTGATCTCAGGTCGGGGTGCCTAAAGGAGGCAACCCATCGATGTTTCTCTCCCTTACTCTCAAAAACACAAACAAATATATATATATCTCCTTGGGTGAGGATTAAAAAAAACTGATTCTGGGAATTACCCTAGTTTTTTCCTTTTCCCTTATCCCTTCTCTTCACATAGGCACAAAAGACTGTATTTATCTTCTAAATATCCCCCAAATTCATTCTCTCCTCTCCTGTCGCTCCAATTTTAAGTTCTCATCATTTTCTACCTGGGTTATGTAATAAATTTGTCCCTCTGCTGCCTTCCCCAGCATATTAATCCACTCACCCATTGTTTCATTGATTTATGTAACTTACACTTTTATGAAGGGCCTAATCTTACACTTTTACTCAGACACTGCTAAGACACTGGACTCAGTTGAAAGAATCTGGGAAGGAGACAGCTTATCCAAAATGACAATACAAATGAGCTGGTATTGTGCTGAGGTAAATCGGGGATGCTGTGGAGAGTGGGGTATGCTTAATTTATCTTGGAAGTATGTTTGACAGAAGTGAGTCTTCCTTAATGACCCAATCTCGATCTTTCTAACATACAAACCTGGCATTTCCTTGCTTAAAAATACTCATTGACTCAGTCTAGGGAATAAGTCCAAATGTCTTGGCCCTGATATTCAAGGCCTGTCATCATATGCAACGGTGTCTAAGGATTCCAGCCTTATCTTTCCCTGCAACTACTTTCCCCCATGCTCCAGAGATACTAAATACATCACTTAACACTCTTCAGAGCCTTTCCATAGGGGGAGTTTGGGACAGGAAGTAAGGGGAGAGGTAGGATGGTGGGGAGGAAGATGACTAGACTTCTGTAAAAGGAGAAAGAGACCTTGTGGGTTGGAGGGGTGGGGGATGGGTGAGTGTGAAGAGGAGGGTGGAAGGAGAGGAAGGGGAAAAAAGGGAAGAGGGTAAGGATGAAAAGTAGAGAATAGGAAAGGTGTTGGACCGAGGTGGGAAGAGACAGAAGTGTTAAGAGGGAAATGGGATGAGGGTTTGGAGGAGGGGCCATTGGAGACTACGTACCTCTGGGCTTTCGCTTGGATTTTACAAGTCCTTAGGTCAGGATCTTGCCTGCAGCTAGGAATGGGAAGTGTTAGCCCGAGAAAGGGAAGGCTCTTGGTGGTGGATGAAACTCAGCTGCAGGGCGCTATGTAGTGAAAGGCCTTGCCTGCAAGCCTACGACTTGGGGAGGAGACTTGGACACTTGCAGAGATTCGCAAAGGAGCTCCAGCAAGATCTGGGGAAGGGTGGGAGGGGGAGGGACAGAGGGTTCAGGACCGATGGAGGGACTTCATTGAAGCCTCTGGAACCCAGGCCGGAAGAGAAGGAATCCGTCACCAGGGCAACCGGGACGCCTAGTAGTCTCAGTGTCCACAGCAGTCCAGTCCGGTCACCTCCCGGGTGGGTGTGGTCTCCCGAAGGGGCTGCATTGGATCTGGAGCGGACGGACCTAAAGGGTTCACTTCTTTTACGGGGGTTTGCGGGACTCTTGGAGAGTCTCTGAGTAGGCTTCGCGGGTATCCGTGGGGACATCCGTGGGTGTTTGGGATTGTGAGGGTCTCTGCAGGGTTCCTATGAGATGACTGTGGGGCGGCCGGTGGGGTCTGTGAGGACCCGAGGGGGACATCGGGGCACAGGGGTTGGGAGAAAGGCAGGGGCTGGGCGGGGCCTGCTGGCAGCCAGCAGGGACCAATCGAACGGCCGAGGGGCGGAGCGCCACACGACGTCAGGCCGAGGCCGCCGCGGGGCCTGCTTGTCGCCGGTTCAGCGCCGCCGGAGTCGCCAGGCCTGAACTCCTACCCAAGTCCCCGGCTCGGCCTCCGCCGGCCCGCCCCCGGCCTCGGGCCCGCGAGGACCCCGGAGGCCACCCCGGGGGTGGGGAGCGGAGCCGCGGGTCAGCTCGGCGAGCACCCCGCGCTGGCCTGTCGGGCCCCGCCCCCGCCCCGGGCCATGGCCCAGCCCTTATCCCGGCCCCTCGTCCTGTCGCCCGGATCCCGGCCTTGGCTCCCGGCCCCCGCCTCGCCCTGCTTCCCAAATCGGTCCAGATCCCGGTCTGGGTACCAGCGAGTGCCCAGACCCAGGGTCCGCCTCCAGCCTCAGTCCCAGGCCCTGGCCTGGCCCCCATCCCCGCCTCTGCCCCCGTTCCACCTCCTGTCACAAATCCCAGCCCAGCCTCTGTCCCAGTCCCACCCACAGTGTTTGCTTAAGCCCAGGGCCCCAACCCTGCCCTTACTCCAGTCCCCCTCACAGCCTCTTCCATCCCATCCCCTCCTCTTTTTCAAGCCCCCGTGTCCAGCCCAGCCCAACCCATTAACTCAGCCTTTGCGGTCATCTCTGTGTTTACCCAAGTCTCTCCCGCTACCCACCCCTTTCTCTCACCCCCTGCCCCTCTCCCAGCCCCGGCTCAGGTCTGGGCTCCAGCTGCCACCAGCCCTGTTGCTGCTGTTGCTGTTTTCTGTCTTTGGCCCAGGGGCTGGTGAGTGCAGAAACAGCAGACTGAGGAAGGGATGGGGTTCTGGCCAGGAGGGGTGGACTGGAGGGATTTGGGAGAGGTGGGACCTTAGTAACTAGATCTTTGGGGAAGAAGTGGGGGGAAATAGGGAGGAGAGAGTTCTTATACATCTGAGAGGAACTGGGAGGGGCAGAAGAGAGGTAACTGTGGGCCTGAGGCTCAGCAGGTGACTAATAGACCCTAGGCCAGAGACTCCAAGATTTTCTTTTCTGGTGTCCATTCTGACCCCACCTTGACTCTTGCATTTCCAAGGAAGTCTTGCTCCTGCTCATAAAGTTTGATGGGAGAGACATAGTTCCACACCAGACAGCCTCTAGTCCAGTGTTGGGATATTGGGCATGCATTCAAACAGGGTTAAAAAAGCAGTTTTGAAAATAACATGTAGCAAACAGATGGATATGAATGAGTCGTCATTATAACAGGTTTTCTTCATGTAATGAGTTTTGTTCCAAATAAGATCGATTTGCCTAGGAATAATTCCCGACACTTTTAGAGCAGGGTTGAAACTCCAAGGCCATTTTACAGATGGGGAAACTGAGGCTCAGCAGGGGAACAATTTGCTCAAGGTCATGCAGCTTGTAAATGGCAGTGCTGGGGCTAGAAAAAAAGTTTCCTAATTTCTATTCCACACTAGTGGGTTTTTTCACTGCAGTATATGCCTAATAGGAAAACAAACCCAAGTAGGGGAAGGCTCAAAGCACAACCTGTCCTCTCTCCTGTCTGCCCACACGGGGGCTTCATCATGAACTGTTCCTCATTTGCCAGTTGTCAGCCTAGGGCCACCATCCAGCAAGGAAGTGATTTGGATAGGAGAGGGAGAGGTCCAACTTCATAATGGGTGGAATGTGGGAAGTGGGGTGGGGGGGGCTGCTTATAGGAGATGTGCCAGAAAGATGGTCCCATCCTAAGAAGTAGACTGTGGTGTTCATGGCCCCAACTCTCAGCCACCTTTGCTTTGGGGTTTCACCAGGGCCTACAGAGCTGTGTCCCAGAGGAAGCATAAGCAAGGCCCTAGGTAAGCTCAGATGATCTATCGTGGATAGGATGGAGAAGTGCCTGAGGGAGTCTTTGGCACTAAGTAGGTGGGGGTGGGGACTGGGTTGCAGTGAACTCTGGTTCAGCGTACGAGCTTGAGGAAATCAATGCATGCCAAATGTCACTGCCCCTGCAGAGATGTCTAAGCTCACTGGTGTCTAGACAATTACATGTCTGAGTGTATACCTGAGGGATCTGTGGAAATGCTGGGCATGGCATATGCAGTGTGTGTACATGCTTGTGCACTGGTGAGTGTAGGTACATGTATGTTGTGTATGTACATGAGCCTGTGTGTCCTTTATTATTGTATAAGAGGGAGGGTACATATTGTGGCCCATGAATTCTCTCTTCAGCTCTTCCTGCTCTTGTAGACAGAGCACTGAAGTGTTAGCTTCCCAGTGGATAGTTCCTAGTTTGGAGGCAGTGTTGGATGCCTCTCATAACATACACAAGTAATCCATCTGCCCCCCCCCCCCCCCCCCCGCCTGACTCAAAGGAAGGTAATAGCCAGGTCAGTTTTTCATTTTGGGGGAGGGGGAGTCCCTACTGTTGAGCCCTATTCACAGTTTCCATTTTTGTCATAATGGCTTCTTGAGTCCATTGAGCAAGCATGAGCTGGCTAGGGGAGGAGGGTAACTGACAGCCGCAGAGCTGTAGAAAGTGGAAAGATGTGGATTAAAACACAATTGTCTGGAAGCAGGATTAGGTGGTTTGGGGAAAATTGTAATGAAGTTGGAAGAGT